CTTGGTGGGGGTGCAGGTCAAAGAAATGTTTATTCAATTCAGGTTTCCTTCATTGGAATCCCCCCCCCCCCCCCCCCCCCCCTACGATTGGAGAAAAGACGCAAAGGAACTGACACGGCAGTATCGCATGTGCGATATGGGAGAGGAGAGGTTGCCGAGAATAGCCTGGGAGTCGAAGTGGGAAACCAAGAGGGGTAGACAACCCACGGAGTGGGACAAGGTTGTACGTGACGCATGGAAAGGGTTAGAAATTGGCGAAGACGATACGCTGGATACGGAGAGTCTAAACGGGTTCAAGGAGAATATGTCTGCTGCTTTTGCCGAGAGAGAAGAACATAATCTGAGAAAAGAAACCAAGGATAGGGAGGGTATATTGTAGAAGTGTACGGAATGTGAAAGAAGGAACAGGGTTCAAGGATGCTGGGACAAAGCTGAACGTCCAACTCAGGACCGGGGACATTGGCCTTCGAGAACGTAGCCGAAGACTTCGGAAGGTAGACGATCAGACGAAAGTTCAAATTTGATTGCGGCTTCGAGTGCGAAGACCGAGTTCATGTAGTCGCGGAATGTCGGCTGTACAAGAAGGAGAGGGAAGTATACACGCCTGAGCTGGGAAAAGTAGGAGAAACGTACAGGGAGATGTTTGAGGCATGGGATAGCCAGGAGAAGACGTTCGCTGTACTGGGGCATAGGAAGTGGGTTGAACAGGCGGGAAGTGATATCGATAGAAATGATATCGGTAGGATAGATAGAGTAGGGAAGACATTTTCGAGCCACCTTTGACAAAGTAGGAAGGAACGATTGGCCATCGGTGATCGGTCCTGTGGGAACAATGCTCCGTCTTCTCGAGGACGCGTGGTCAATGGTCTAACCGCTGAGGTATGCACAACATACGAGTACGCCCCCCCCCCCAACGGACTCCGATTTTCGATTAGTTGGCCAGTGTGCCTTGAATATAGACCCTTGGACCAACTCACAATAACATCAACCCGAGGAAAACAATCTTTCTCGGCTACCCCGACCGAATCCAAACGTGGGATCGTGCAGCAATTCCCCACTCGAAGGCATTCAGTGGGCCGAAAACGAGACGCTAGTGTCTCAAAATGTTGAGGCATTGGCACCATACTTGCACGAAGGGTCTCACGCTCACGCCAGCTATACCCATGCGTATCTGTTCACATGTTTCGGAAATCGTGAATATCATCTTCGCGTCGCTTGAAACAAAATCGTCTGTAGGCAAGAAAAACCCAGTGAGCGGCGGTGAAAACGGTCCAGAATATTGTCGAGGTGCTGGCAGTGTGGTCTTTCCGATGGGACGTCCCACGTGTCCCATGGCGGCGACCCATGGCCCGCATGGGATGGTCCGTGGGACACCCACGCGACGCATGGGACGGCGTGGGACTGCACAAGTTACGCGCCGGACGTCCTATTCGCCCGTCTCAATGGGGACGCCCCATGGATGGGCCGTCCCACAAGTCCCATGGACGTCCACGTGGGATAGGCCTGCCCCACCCGAGGGTAGGAGTGGGACGACTCAGAGCGTTCTGTCCATTTTCCCTGCTCACGGGGACGGCGGTGGTCGCATCAGGGATGCCCCAACCGTCCCACGGGAAGCACCCAATAGTTAAGGGTGAGCAAGAAATCGTAGCCCCACGCATCCTACCCGTGTTCCGTGCTCACGGGACAGCGGGGGTCGCCCCCGGGGCGCCCCAACCGTCCCATGGGAAGCACCAAATAGTGTCAGGACCCGATGCCGTTTAGCTCATTTTTCTGTTCGCATCAGAACCAACCACCATATGCGAAACTCGACCCAGTGGTTCCGTAGCGGTCTACCTGCAGGCGCGCTGCGAATTCGAATCGCGACACACCTTGTACTCTTTCTTTGCCTGAAATCAAACAACTTGACTTTGACGCGTACAGCGCAAACAGTCATAGATCCAATACGTCTTTACACGATGGTCTCCATATCCTAAATCCCTCCACTAACATGAACCAAAATAAACAACCACATAGATAGTAGACACATCCATGGTGCTTGTGTGTGTGTTTCCCCGTGGCTTCTAATGACAAAATTTTCCCCAAAAACCAACAATAAACCAAATAAAAATGTGGTTGTCGAGGATTTAGTTTACCCAATACGCTATCGTGTGCATCCTCTGGGATACCTAGTCGCCGATCTCGATCCCTCACCCCGTGACATCGTGAGAATACTGGACGACGATCAATCGCTACGCCGACGAAGACCCCCAGAGTATGCCCTACATTGTCACCAAAGCGTCCACGAACCACGAAAAAAGCACATGGCGGTAAGCATGTCTCTATGGTACTTACAAATACCGACGAGGGTGCCGTGTGTCTGCTCGAGCGAACACATCCTATAGATGAATGGGCACAAGAGGACACGTAAGGCGTCGTCTGAGGAACACGAAGCACTCCGACCATTCCATGGCTGTTGCTTCGCTCAGAATCCATATTCTAGTGGGGGGAAACAATGGTAGATCCCAAAGAAGCCCATATCACGAGCGCTTGACCTGGTTGGTGTCTGCACCTTCTTCTTCGAAGCACGTCATTGGGCGGAGGAGCTAACGGGTGTGACGACACCAGAAAATGTTAAAACAATTATGCCGTGTTTAGTCGGCGTTTCTTTACTGCCGAAATTAATGAACCCGCTGTAGACGCCCTAAAACGGATCATCAGGCGGGGCGTGAAATGGACACCCGAGAAGCATACGTGAGCTACCCCTTGGAGTCTGTTGAGAATACCACGCTGCGCCCCCCCCTCTACGCATACAGATGCTATGTTAGTTTGCCATAGACTTGCAGCGCAGATCCGCAACTTTCATCGTCGTCGTGCGCGTTCTAGCCCATCCCATTGACAATGACGGGGACTCCCTTCACCCTCAACATGGTGGTGGACACCTATCATACGCTTCCACTTGTTTTGACATTGTATGTGCCTTCGACATATTCGGGACGCCATCGCATGCTTACTTCTCTCTCTCCCATCTAGGCGGCGGCGGCGCGGGGGCAGAGGCGAGCGTGGGAAGCCTTTTCGAGCCTGTCGAAGAGTCGATTTACCCCGTACAGGAGCGCCGGCATCTGTGGGGAACCCGGCGGTGCGCATGGCCTGCCGGCTTCAAAAACGGCCCGAGTCTTCTTGACACACACACGTTCATCACGTTCGACTGCACCGAGAACAGCGTTGTCGCTAGGTCATTTTATCAAAGACTCACGGAGACAGGAGCAAACATGAAAAGGCGCCGCCGATACAGTTGACAACCGCAGCGTTGTTCTCAACGGAAACGGAAATTCAGTATAAAGCATGGCGAGGGCCATGGGGGACAGTTCAGAGCGTACTCACCAGAATCAACACCATGAACTGGACAGGGTGCGGCAGCCCGTACCATGTGCACTTGAACCTTGATGAGAACTCGAGGAGCCCTGCAAGGCACACAGCAATTAATAACAGCAACGCCGCCAACAGCAAAAAACGCCGTCCGTGGGGTGGAGAGGCCAACAGTCATCCATGTGCGGCGGGCCCGAAACAAGACACAAGCGACACACCAACCATAGCCCTGCGCTCTCTGCAGACGGTGTGCCTAGGTCATGGGACGTACAAAACACGGAATACAACCCAAAAAGCATCGTCATACTGTAGTTGCACCACACTCACTGTTGTTTTCCACCAGGACCATGTTCAACGCTGAGGTCGCGAACATCAGCGCGTGACGACTGTGATGGCACACGACAGACGACGAGCAGATGCCCAGAGAGAGCTCATGTCAACCTATGACGACGTGAACGCATAGCCCGTGGGCATTACTGCATGAAGCTGGAGTCTTAGGTCGGGGCGACGCTCTGACGGCAGGAGAACTCAACGCAGGCGCCAGGCATACTGGCCTATCTTCATACACAACCTGCCGTTCTTTGTTCTATAGATGCGCTCAATTACTAGTGATTACCCCCCAGTTGGAGCGGTGATGTCAAAACAGGGTCGCGCTGCTTGAAACCCCCAGCAGCGGCTAGTCTTGTCTCGATCCGTTCACCCTCAAGGAAGGCCCATGGTGACACCGCACAAGACGCAGACTGTGAAGTTGCGACCGCCGTTACAAAGTCTAACAAGCGGAACGTAGATACGTGGCACCTTCCAGATACGATCCGATTCGCAGCGGGTCGATCGCAAGATTTTTAACCTCGCTCAGTCCTGTACCTTGGTGGACCATCAGTTCTCTTTCAGGTCCCACAGATCTTGTTTTTATCGTAGCTCTTTTCGCATGCCTATAGAGTCTCGAACTATAGCAGCAGTAGTAGATGGCGGTAAAATCCTTACAGCCCACCAGACTAGTCATGCATCTTGGTATTTTTGTTTCCCACCAACTTGACGTCCACGTCCACAAGAAGAACTGGCACTCTGGTGCGTACTCCTGCTGGTGTCAACTTTACACGGCGGCTTATACGCCACCAGAAGAAGCAGTAGTCAATGTCAAACGCTTAGAGAGTTAACCAACTTGGTCTTGCCTCTAAGGGTCTGGTGTGACACCGAAAATGCAAATAACCCGTTACGTATTGGTACGCACACGGATCCATTCCGATTCAGGATACACGGGAACGGGCCTGAGAACAAAAAAAAACGCTTCCGGACTGACGTACGTCCGTAGTACGTGCAATCCCACCAAATAGCATCACTACAACACGACCAACAAGGGTCATCCAAACGTAAGAAGAGAGTTGAGCCGGCTTGCTCGGCGTTGCCTTTTGCGAGTCTGGTGTCGCCACCGAAAGCACGACAGAAAATACACCGTAGAAAACACGCACCCACGGATACATATGATTGGGATTCCAGAATCAAGCCGGATTTGTTCCAGGATGGGTCGGAACGGGGGTCGGAACAAATTTGCTTGTTCTCGAGGATATATATATATATGTATGGATACGACCAACAAACAAGAGGGTGTCGACGAGAAAGGCGCCTTTGATTGCATTTTGGTTCGTCGTGAACCGCAAGCCGCGTTTCGTAGCAGGTTCTCAACAACAACAACAACAACACCGCTGTGGTGTGATCGAAAAGGCCCCGGGAGATAAATTGAAAGCTCCAACTACAGCAGCAGTACATACATTGCGCACGTTGTGTGTTTTACTGTGTCGCGCCGTGTGTGTTCTGGTAGAGGGCACGCCACCCCCGTACGCAGTAGATATAGATGAGAGACGATCATGTGCAATGTCTGTAACGGGAGCACGGTTAGCTCGCTCTTTTCTCCTTGTTGTACTTACCATTTCCCGCCAGCTCTCTCTGCCTTGAAACCTCCTGTTGTTGTTGTTGAACCTGCTGAGGGCGGCTACAAACGATCCAGTAATGACCAGCAGCTCCGGCGGTCAGCATATCTCATCTCACCTCAGGGGGTTGCCGTGGTGTGTCTGTGTTGTCTGTGCTGTGGTTGTGTGGTTGGGGGGGGGATGTATCCAAAAGGCTGAGCTCTCGGAAATATGTTGAGGTTGGGTGGACAATGTCCTGTGAGATCTCTCCGCAGAAATAATGAACACCGTGGGGCTGGGGGTGTGTGTGATTGTACAGAAGAACACCGTAATGAAGAGCTGTTGATGCGGGCGGTGGGATGCTGACTTCTATTTTAAGTACAAAACTTTGAGACTTTGGGACTTGGAGACCGTCTCGACAACTGCTGCTGTCGTCATTTTTGATCCACATGGCGCCACAAGAATCTTGGTTTTGTCTGAGAAACTTCCTTGGATCATCAAGCGAACGGAGCACTGATGAAACGATGAAACGAAGACGAAACGAAACACCTTCTTTTGCTTTTCGCTACTACAGTACGTGACGCGAGATACCGCCCCCCCTCCGGACGACTAAAGCAGAGACCCACGACGTACAGTAGAAGAGCATGCTACATGTAAAACCGAACGATACTCTGTCAGCTGAATGTTTTCCGAAGGATATCAACGAGGCGGTTTCCAACGTCGCCGTTTTTAACACCACGCCACTCCTCGCTATTTTTTGTGGAATTACATAATAAATCTTGCAGAAATCGGTCGGCAGGTGCGATATCTTCTATTATTACATGTCATGAGACACGCATATATTTAATTAAGGAATAATAAAAACACACACAGAAAGACTACCACGTTCGAGATATACATATATATACCGTTCGACACAAGATAGCACACCCTCTGGACCGATTTGCAAAGCTCCAATACGACAAAAAGACCATGCATTTTCACGAAGCGATACGTTTTTTCGGAGAGCTCTCGACGAGGCTGCTGCAACGCCGCAGTTTTCGGCGCTGTTACTCCTTCTGCTATGTTGAGAAATCGAGCTTTGAAAAATCGGTTCAGGATGTGTGTTATCTTCTGTCATACATGGCAAGCACAACAATCGCATCCGTTGAAGCGAAACGAAACAACGAAACAACGGATCTTTAACACTGCAGTCGGGTGATTGCCCGTTCCTCCCTCCTCTGTTCAGAATTCAGAGGCAGCCACGCGTTCCTTGCTTTCGTTTTTCATTCTTTCCCGCTCTCACCAAACAGGAGACAAACACACCACCGGAGCTAAGAAAAGGAGGAGAGGGTTTCGGCCGCGTTGCCACCGACCACTACCATACCTGCAGCGGGTGCCAGGAGAACAGAAGGTAATCATAAGCATCACAGCGGTCGCCATCTCCCATTGTGAAGGCACGTGACGTACGTGTGCTTCAAGTCTCAAAGAACGAATAAATACACGCAAAGAGACGAGTCTTGGGGAGAATGGCCATAGAACGGCCGCCGGTGGGACATAGCGACACACACACAGAGGTCTGGCCGGACAGAGCAAACGGGAAAGAGAGTGGGTGAGACAGCCGCAAGGCGAAGAGGAACCCGAAGTCGCTTTTTATTTCCGTGGGCGCGTTGCCCAGAGGCTCGACGATGATGATGATCAGAGTTTCTTTTTGGTTTGAGAGAACATCACAACAAATGTGCGAATGTCTCCGCTCTTTTTTCCCGATCGCCTGCTGAGCCGTGCGAACGAAGCGGTAGTGATGCGTGCTGCTGAGGAGCGAGGCTTCCCGGTTTGGAGCTACAGATGTTGTAAGGGGCTCGAGATAGCCGTAGGGTGGCCCGGCACACGCGGTGTGGCCTCATCGTGTGTGCGAACAGCGTATCATACTTATCATCGTGTGTGTGTCGTCTGTAGACATCATTATACACAAAACGCAGAACTCGTGACGGGGTACATCAGAGTGCTATTTTGGAGATGTTTTCCCCGAGTCCCCACTCGTCAGTCTGGAGCTTCTGCTGGTTCGAACGTTGGCAGTGCCCTCAAGAGACTCACGTAGTACCTGTTTTCCCCTCCCGCCATCACCGGACAACGCACGCCCAACGATAGTTTTTTCGGGTAGCGGTTTTTTTGGCCCCCCTTCGAAACGACTCCCAAATCGTCCAATATTGTCGCGAAGGGAGCGGCACAGCAGTTGTTGTTGCCGGGCAGCAAGCAGCAAGCCAGTGTGAATCACATACTCCGACGTGAGAGACCCCAAAACAGGCCGGGAGGTTGTTGTTCTCCATGCTGATGTCACATCGGCACATGGTACGACACACCCAGGAGGCGGGTGGTGCGTCTTTCTGTGTGTCGTCGTATGTATGGGGTAAGAACCACGGATAGAGGTGTATGCCGTACCAATGTAAGTACCAATTTGTTTTTGCCCCTCTCCTTTGTTTGTTCCCGACAAAACCTAATTCAAGTCTCCGCAGGAAACATGTTGACTGGAAAACAAGCTGGTGCTGGACTTACGGCGATGATCCTCGTTGCCCCCGGTGTTCCTCTCGCTCTTCTGGCGCACCGGGCTGGCGGCAGCATCGCCAGCGTGCGGCCCCAGCTTCACCCTTCGGTGCTACCGGCAGGCACTCAAACACGCCTCATCGACTTGAACTTGTAAGTGGTGAATGGGTCGTACGGTAGGAAAACGCGAATTTTCCATGGATTCTTCACGGTAGTACTACTACTGCCTTCTCGAGGAACCGCATCACGTCCGGGTGTGTTCCGTGGAGGTACAAACCTTACCCCTTGCCCGGTAGCCCTGGATGATCGCCTGATCGCCACCAAACAATTCATCATCCGTCAGAAGAAAATACACCTTTATGAATGTAGGGAAGTGATAGATATAGGGTCGGTAAAACGTTTTTGAGCCACCTTTGGCAGGAAGGAACGGTTAGCCATCGGTGATCAGTCCATCGGCGGTTCGTAGGAGCAATGGTCTAACGCTAAGAAAGGCATGCGAAACATGAGTACCCCCCCCCCCCCTCTACCCGCCTTGTCACCCACGTACGCTCGAATGCCACCCCAGTCAAGAGCGGAGGAGCGAGGCGTTCGCCGCCATCGCCATCCATCCCGTTGGCCAACCTGGTGAGCCGTGGAGAGCGTCGATTTTGCCTTCAAGAGCCGCCAAGCATGGATTAAGGAATAATAAAAACACACACAGAAAGACTACCCATTCGAGATATACCCACAGTCATGGATGCACGAGTACAGCGGTTGAGATCCCTATTCAGTGCCTGTTGAATGGTACCGGTGCCCGGTGCAAATTGTGCCGTTGAACTCTCTCGGCACGACGGGCGTCCACTCCTATTCTGTACCCTTAACGGTATACTGCTGCATCCCCGTTCTGAATAATGCCGGTTAATTTTCCCGGGCACATAGAATACCAGCGTTGAAGAGGGGCCTACCTGTACCGCAGCGGTTACGGGGTTGGCGCCCTAGTAGTAGTACGCACACACGCACGCGCGCGGGCAGAAACAAGTTTCTGCGGCAACACATCCGCTTCGACTGCCTGTAGTATTTATCGTTGACTGTACTTGTACGCATATGCATACATGTCTCTTTTAACGATCACTAAAAACGTCGATCGGGGCAAGAAGAGCGCAGCAACAGAGGATTCCTTCCTACCAAGAAAAGGGGGGTGTTTGTCTTGTTGTCCGTGTGAATGGCAGGCTTGTCGTTGTACGCGCATGTATCTGCCGAGCAGTTTGTAGGTGTTCCGGGCAAAACAGTTATTTTGGTGCCGAAAATGTCGGGAGAGATGGCACCCCCGTGTCAGCGTTTTTTGTGGCGTGTTTCTCCATAACCACGGGGGGCACCACTGCCAATAAGGGTAGCTTTGGAAACATCTCGTGGAGGACTTTCCTGAGAGGTATGGGTTGGTGTTCGCACAGTTGAGGAGAAATATGCTAAGAAAAAAACGCTAACACGGGCGTGCTACATATCTCTCCGACGCTTACGGTATGAAATGGGCGCCAAGCACAGCAGCAAAGCGACAACGATAGAAGAGCCAATTCTCGTCTCTCATGCGTCAACGTGTGTTTCCCTTCGTCGTGCCTTTCGATTTTTCGTTTGTTTGTATCAACCGCACACGCACTCACGCACACACACACCCACACGCACCACGTGTGAAGAATTGTGTCTTGTGTGTTGGTCGTTTGGCGCGATTCCTCTGTTAAAAACACTCGTTTCCCTTCGCTGGGATGTTCTATTTAAGTAAAAACATGTTAGATATGAAGCATGCGATGGGGGAAGTTGGGTTAGGGAACAGGGTATTTCTGCGTACCCCCTCTCTGTTCTAGTTCTTCCATTACCTTATCAATCTAGCGAAAAAGGCGGTCCTAAACACTTGGTAGCCACCCGCTACCTACTCTGCCCTAGAATACCTTGACCCTTCTTCTCAAAACATTTTTGTTTGTTTGGTGACCTCCTTCCTCCTCCCCTTGTTTTCGTCGGCGCGGCAGGGCTTAACAACGCGCCGGGATTCCCGAAGGCCCGCGCCTCCACGACCAATCGCCTCGGCCTGGAATCCAACCTGCCTTCGGACGATAAGCAGGTGTGACATCCCATAAGCGGAAAAAAACACAGGTACAGGTTGCTCGCACGCCTCAGAACTTCTAGGTTGGCTGAGGCGGGGGTTCTTAGTTCCTCTTGTTGTGGTGTAGGTTACAAATTGCCGCTATATATTAGATTTTTTTTTAGTGGTGGTGGTTCTTATCCGGAGTGTGTAGGTTTTATGTGAAGGAGTTCTCAACAGGGCTCACTATAGTAATGATGATGCTCAAGTTCGAGTGATTTGATTTGATGCACGGATTTTTTAATTAATTGCGGGCGCTATGTGTACCCGTCCCTCTCTTTTTTTTTCCCTCTCCCCCTTTCGTTTTCCCTCTCGCTTTCTTTTCACCAAATTTTTCGATCCCCCCCCCCCCCCCCTTTGTTTTTTTTCGTCATTTACTAACGGCCACACTCCGAGAGTAGGTGGCCAACGCCGAGGACGATGTCCCCGCGCACCCTCCGCCGTTCTGCATCGTGCCAACCCAAACGACTGCGGAACCCGCCGCGGAACCTGCTGCGGAACGTGCCGTGGAACCGGCTGCGGAAACCGCTGCGGAACCCGCTGCGGAACCTGCTGCGGAACCTGCGGAACAGCTCTCAACGGAGGTGACTCTCCAACCAAATTCTCTATTTCCGATGCTCGGTTCGATAGATGTCCACCCACCCCTGTTTCGCGCAGCAGTGTGCGCAGGCCTTGGAACACGGGGGGGGGGGGGGGCGGGGTGCTTGTATGACCCGGGGGGGTGGGGGGGACACGGGGGTTGGGTGGGAAACACGGAGCCCGCCCCTGGGGACTGGGGGGGGGGGGGGCTGCAAAAGATTTGGAAATTGCCACGGATTTCCCTTTTTTGGGGGTTGGGGGCCCCATGGGTCATCCCTGCCCAGTCCCCGGGGACGTCAAAACAAAATGAGGGCCCTAAAGGTTTTTTTAAAGCCCGGGACATGTTTGTGAACAAATCCCCCGGGGTCGGGCGCCACAAAAAGGGGGTTTCCGTGTTTTTTCCCCCGGAAAACCAAAAACCCATTTTACAATGGTCGGGCTTTTGTTGGGGCCC